CCATACCTTTATCTAATCGTTATAAACAGTTCCCACACTCCGGACAGCTTGCCTTGACTACTTCCTTAACACCTTCCTACGTCGCGGACCTGTTTTCCTTCCTTCCCATAGCATTTTAGAATTGCAGATACCTTAATCTAATCGTCATAAACAGTTCCCACACTCCGGACTACTCGCCTTGACTACTTCCTTCACCACTTCCTACGTCCCGGACCTGTTTCCCTCCCTTCCAATAGCATTTTAGGATTGCCCACACCCTTATCTAATCGTCATGAACAATTCCCACGCTCCGGACTACTCGCCTTGACTACTTCCTTCACCACTTCCTACGTCACGGACCTGTTTCCCTCCCTTCCCATAGCATTTTAGGATTGCCCATACCCTTATCTAATCGTCATAAACAGTTCCCACACTCCGGACAGCTCGCCTTGACTACTTCCTTCACCACTTCCTACGTCACGGACCTGTTTCCCTCCCTTCCCATAGCATTTTAGGATTGCCCATACCCTTATCTAATCGTCATGAACAATTCCCACGCTCCGGACTACTCGCCTTGACTACTTCCTTCACCACTTCCTACGTCACGGACCTGTTTCCCTCCCTTCCCATAGCATTTTAGGATTGCCCATACCCTTATCTAATCGTCATAAACAGTTCCCACACTCCGGACAGCTCGCCTTGACTACTTCCTTCACCACTTCCTACGTCACGGACCTGTTTCCCTCCCTTCCCATAGCATTTTAGGATTGCCCATACCCTTATCTAATCGTCATAAACAGATCCCAGACTTCTCACTGCTACCCTTGACTACAATGTATCGAGTAATCTTCAGTATAATCTTTGCTAAATGATGTTTTTCCTTTTGTACTGTATTTGTAATTTGCTAGTATACTGTGGGTAGTTGGCTTATTACGAACACATGCTACAACTTCAAGTTTTTTGTTTACTTTTTCCTTGTTATTTAATTCAGCCAACAATGTTACCTAGCAACCCATATGACTAATGTTAAAAAAATGTGATTTTCAGTTTCATTTTTCTACGTAATTAGATTTTTGTTGGCAGTTCTAACTGCAGTAAACTCGTTTTTAGGCCAGAATTAAACTATTGATAACATTTGAAGAAAATCGTCGGAACCGTTTTCGAGATCTTTGTGCAAGCAAGCATACATACATACATACATACATACATACATACAAGCAAACATTGCTCGTATTAGAGTATAGGATAGTCTCACTCGGTTTATTCGTAAACCAAATTTGCTCTCCATGTATTTCTTATGGGAGTTAATTTTGGTTTCTCTTTGCCAAGTTCGTTTAGCTCTTCTACCCGACCGATTTTTATGATTTAGATCTTAAATTGAAGGTATGAATGCACAGATTTCACATCAAGCAGCGGCATATATTTACCTACCCTACTGTATTACTCGACCAAAAAACATAATTTGATTCATTTTCAAATTCTTACTTCAGTTTAAGATGTATTTCACCAGTTATAATTATCTAATCCTATATATTTTGGTCTAAGAACCTTCAGTGAAATACCGGCTTTCATTAAGCTATTATTTAACCATATATATTAACCACCCTCATTGAATCACTACATCATTATTTCCCATATTCATTTATTAAAACTATAAGGTATTTACTTAAAATAAAAGTTATATTTTACCAGCCCGTCCAAACGTAACCACGCATGAACACACACCAAACAACGTTTTAGATTTTACAAAAGGATGGCAAGTCTACTTGCAGTATCCTAGGTCAATGATAAAATTGTGTTTAATATATGTCATCTATCTGTTTATCTCTGAATAAAACCCGTAAAATAATTTGCATAGAATTTATGTTTGTTTGAAGACTTGCGGGCAGAGCCTCGATTTGTAAACGGCAATGGTCTTAGTCCCTATTGTCTACTTATCTCTACTAATTTTACTTATTTCCTATAATCAATGACTAAATAAAATAACCTCATAGTTCCATAGAATATTTTTATATCTATCCAGCTGTTAGTTCAATCAAATTATATCCTTATATATAATTCTGTAAGACAAAATTTTTACCAGAAAATTGTGGACGTCTGGTAAGTCGCAGAAAAGTGGGAGGGGTCTTAAATTAAAGCTCTTGACCCCAGGGACTCGGGAAAAATAGCATAATTCCCATTAAGTTACCAGAAAACGAGATCAAACGTAACATATCCCCCATTATTTATGACTGGGACGGGTGGCGTCGTCCTGTAATCCACCTACTAGGAGGTCACGAATTGTGGATATTTATAGGCATGCACTGTGGATGTGATACTCCCTGGTGTGGATTAACGTCCGCACGAGTGAGTACTACGACTATCCGCAGTACTATCCTGATAATTAGACCAATTCGTATATACCAAGGAAAAAAATGTTGTTCGGATTCCACTATAAACTGTAGGTCCCTTAGTTGCCATTAGCTGTATGGGCTATTAATTAACATTAACAGCTGTGTCTAAGGAATGTCGGCCTCAGTCACTAACAAGACTACAAGATCGCGCCACTCATCATACACTCATCTCCATTCATACTTGGCTTAAAATACTTCATACTTTGTATGGTCGCCATTTCATCGAACAGTATTAACAGTATTAACCATAAGAAAAGCATGGGGACTGAAAAGGTCTGCATTCTAATCACCTGTTTATTATTTATTATTTTATTGTTATTATTGTTTATTATTATTATTTATTTGCAATGTTTACATTTATTCCGAAAGTCAATGTTGTTAAATAATGTTTCAAAATTAAATGTATTAGTTTAATTTATTTGTTTTCCGTTTGTATAATGAGTGAAGTAACTAGAAAGGGTAGGGGAAGACCTGCAAGACGTGGAAGAGTATAAAGGAATTCAACTGACACAAGAAATGCTGAAAGATGACGTCATGTAAAGCCTAACTATGAAAGAAATCCACAAGCTGGTTTACAACCTGCCTTCAGAAGAACGCTAGCAAATGAGTTTAATGTTGTTTCTCACAATCTAGGTCCTCCAGCACGTGCATGCATTGTGGCATATTTCACTTCGCAGAGGAAAGTGCCACAAATGGACATTTCAACGCATGTTGAATGCGATTATAATTTGCCGTTACAATCAATAAGGCTCAGGGCCAAACATAAAAAGAAATTGGAATATATTTACCAGCCCCAGTTTTTACACACGGCCAACTGTATGTAGTCTTCAGTCATGCTAAAACCCCTCAAGACATATCATTTGTAATAAAAACAAGCAGTGACCAGGGTAAAGACAAACGTGGCTATTTTACAAAAAATTTCGTTTTTAAAGATGTTTTGCTGCAACCCTAAACTTTTTTAAGGACAAGACCTAAAAGGCGTATTTCTTCAACACATAATGTTTTTATAAATAAGTTTTGTTTGTTATCTTTTCAAAGTGTTATGTTTTACATTAATTATGTTTAGCAAATCACAAAACTATAAAGAGGTTTTGAACCTGGGGCCAGATTAAATTTTTTTTTAAAGCTAACATAAAATTGATAATTTTTAAAACATATCTCAAGTAGGGACCACTAAAGCACCATTACCACTGAAACCCTAGGCCTAAACTTATGGCTTCGACATTCCCTAGTTCTCAAAATTATCTTTCTTTTAACACAAAAATCCCGAAAATCCGTCAAGTGGTTGATTCAGAATAGTGAAATAAAAAAACCCTGTTACGTTTTAATATATACGAGCTGTTGGCCCGTCCTACGTACGGGAATCGAGTAGTCAATTAAAACTGAATATGATTCAGAACAGCTAGTTAACAACTTGGTGGCCGATTCACACACACTGGCTTTGAGTACAGTGGCTACCACCTTCCACTGCATACTATCACTTACCGTACCTTATTTTACCACCTTGGCCACTGAAACCTCTAAAATGATCCTGGCCTCCCGTTCTCTTCTATCCCCTGCCATTTCTAAGGAAGATACCAGTCTGAAGATGTCTTTCATTACTTGGTCTTCCAAGTGGTCGTCTACCTTGTAGTACTCCTTGGAATACACTTTTAAAAGTTGAAGTATCTTCTCTCCGCCATGCAAAGCCTGCCCAGCCCATTCGAGATCCGAGCCTTTTGGTCTACTTTTGGAATGTAGGCCTACCCCTTTATTAAGTTTCTGAATCATAGAGTACTACTGGGATAGTTATGATATGGTATGAATCGATTTTGGTTTCTACTGACACCCTGCAGCTTACTTGTCAGTTTTCTGAAGACCTGCTACAGTACACCGGTTGACATTTTCATTGCGAATAAAATGTGTACTGTATACAGTCATACTTATATTCAAACATCTAGATAACGATGTATCAACACGTAAACCACTTATATCTTTAAGGATTAAGCACTTATACTTAGACGGATTGCATTTATGACAAAACTTGGTTATACGTTTAAGGTTTAAAATGTTTAGTTCAAAATTACACAATCTCCTGATAACATAGATCTTTTACGGTAGGAAAGAAACTACATTTTAAAGTGAAATAGTGTGTAGGCAAACTCTGACGATCAATATTTTTGTATACAAACAACTTGTACCTAACATAAACATTTCAATGACAGTTAGAAACCAGCTGTTAGTTAAACCACCACTAAAACGACTTAAACTCGTCCGTCGGCTGCTAGACTTTTTGAAAATTAAAACTTAATTTCTAAAAAACTGAAACCCTAAACTAAAATTATGGCTTCGGCATTCCCTAGTTCTCAAAATTATCTTTCTTTTAACACAAATCATGAAAATCCGTCAAGTGGTTGTTTCAGAATCGTGAAATAAAAAAACCCTGTTACGTTTTAATATTATAGATGATGATCCCATACCCTCTCCCCTCGGAACTGCCACTCAAGCAAGTATGTAATCATTTAAATAAGAAGCTACCTATCCTTTATTTTAATATAGCCTAGCAGGTTGAATGAAATTTACATTTGAAATTTCTACTTTTATAAATTTAAGAAACCCAAAATACTAAAAGCATGTGGTTAATCATACCTGGGGACCGCAGGTGAGTGGCTCCCTTGTGTCTGATCACATACTCAGTCCAGTAAACTGCAGTCTCCAAGGGAGACATAGGCCTGTCTCTGAACTGTGCAGACACTGCTTGAGCCTGCAGACGATATCTGAAACATTAGAAAAGAATAATCTAACCGTCCCAACATTTCTCGTCAACTCAACTCTAGAATGCAGTGAACTTCTAAAAAGGAGAAAAAAGAAAAGTATTTTACTTTTAAAACCAAGAGATGTGTTTGTAATGTGTTTTGGACAAGATGATTACCGTCATGGCTATAATAAAATAAGTTGAGTTGTGCAAATTCACTTGGCTAAAATAAAATAACAATAAGTGTTAATGAGAAATCCTGAAGGAAGTCGACCGAGAGGAAGGCCAAATCAAAAGTATTGCAACCAAGTAAAGAGAGACCTGGAGCAAGTAGGAGTAACCGAGGAAGACGCAGAAGATAAAGAAAGATGGAAGGACGTTGTTGGTGCTGCTAAATATCTCCTTATAAATATGCGTGGCCACGCGAATAAGTAGAGTAGGCAAGTAAGTAAAATAAAATAACAGTAAGGTACTAACTATGGAGTAGGGGTAGGGGCACGTGACAGTCGTGACTCACCCTCAACCGGCGCCGTATCACATGTGTTGTTACCGTCGTCTGGTTTTGTTGTCTATTTATTATTAAACTTTTGACAAACTCCACTGCGAGGAATATGAAGACTACTTGACATTCTTCTGACCTGATGATGTGCTCCATTCGAAGCATGAAACAGCTGTAGTCTTACTAACTACAAAGGATCGTTTTGACAGTATAACAAGGTGATTTAAACCACTATATAGTTAATTCAGACGATCCAGAGGCCATTCCACCATGAAATTAGATTTTAGCCAAGTAAATGAGGGTGCATTATAAAAATTATAGTAATTAAACAAAAAACGATACTACATGTTATTATACTTAGGAATAGTTCAATCATAGACAAAAAGAATTAATATAAAGGTTACTTACAGTCTTCGCAATCCTGTTAATTGAGCACTACGGCCGTTTCGGAGATAACTCCATCGTCGGGTGCGTAGTCATTATACACTAATCTGAGCTATTTACATATTTACATTTTTTACGTGGTTTCTTCATTTTCATTGCGTCAAAGTTTAATAAATAGTACATACAACACAAAACACGGACACGACACGAAAACATTAAGGCACGTGCACGGCTAAAAACTGACGACCGACTGATCGAACTTTATCACTGCAAAGTGCAAAGGTTTGGTGGACGACTGGAACAGCTGATAACACGTGTACCAACATAGCTGCTCAAATTATACCTTGTCCTGTTTGATTTGTATTATTTTCTCAAAAATTGGATTGGCTGCTGAGTTAGTCTGGGAATTAATTATTAAGTTCGGTTCTTTAGCTGTACTGGTGTAAATGTGGAAATTTTCAATACAATTAAGTTTGTGACCTTTGCTACCAATGTGGAGTATTTCTAAACTATTAATTTCAGAGTAGTCGTGGCAATACTTTTGGATGTGTTCTGCATAATTTGAGACAGGATTCGGTTTCTTGATAGCACTTATATGTTCTTTATATCTGGTCTTAAAACATCTACCAGTCTGTCCGATGTAGTAGGAATCACATTCTCCACATTTAAGCTTATACGCGCCTGACTTTTCTAGTATAGGCGTAGTATCCCTTTGTCGTGGAGCTGACAACTTACGTTGAAGGTTGTTGCTAGTTCTGTATGCAACTGAATAGTTATGCCTACTAAAATGACGAGTTGCTAAACGTTGGTTGAGTTTACAGAACTCTAGTGTCACGTACTTTTTATCAGTTTTTTCTTTGGCAATTTTATTATTAGCTTTACTCTTGATTCTCCTGTGCAGTTTATCAATCATGTCAGAGCTGTAACCGTTATTCAAGGCAATGTATTTTATTGTATTAAGTTCATTTCTATAATTTTCTTCACTTAATGGTATGTTAATCAATCTGTAGAGCATTGAATTGTAGGCTGCAATTTTGTGAGAGTGGGGGTGGTTAGAGCTGCTATGGATGGTTGTGTCTGTACTGGTTGGTTTTCTATAAATATTAAAAAGGTGTTTGTTATCGGATTTTGTTATTGTCAGTACCAAACCTTTGCAGTGATAAAGTTCGATCAGTCGGTCGTCAGTTTTTAGCCGTGCACGTGCCTTAATGTTTTTGTGTCGTGTCCGTGTTTTGTGTTGTATGTACTATTTATTAAACTTTGACGCAATGAAAATGAAGAAACCACGTAAAAAATGTAAATATGTAAATAGCTCAGATTAGTGTATAATGACTACGCACCCGACGAAATCTCACCAACAAGGGCTTTCCATATTTCACATAAATTATTAATGCATGTTTATATTTGGAAGCATGCGGAAATATCAGTTATTCATAAACCCAATAAACCAAAGTCGATTTAAATGAATTCGAACTGCTTAACATGTGTTAGATTAAATTAACATAACTTGCACATCACATTGTTTTTTTATATGTATATTTAGGTAAATTTAGTTATTGTGTTTTGCTAAACCTATGCTTAAATTAAACTAAAGAATATCATCATCAATAACTAAATTGTACATTGATTTTTTTGTTTATCTTAGTGATAATGCCGCAACCCTTAGGTCTAGCCTGAAGTAATGTGAAAAACAATCCCAGGCTCGTGCCTAGCGTCCTAGGACAAAAAAGAGAACACAGTGTTCTTTTGTTTCTAAAATCAATTAAATATCTATGGTAAGTGTGAAAATGTAAAGGCAATGGTGATGGAACTGATTAAAAGAACTGGTTTCGGTTTGTATATCAAGTTGTTTGTTGATATTTTTGTAGAGTAGAACCAGAGATGCAATGATACATGTACTGTATTTGCTATTACATTTTTTAGTCCTTGATGCTTTGATAATCATATTAGTTTTGTCTGCTGTCTATAATGCTAAATTATTTGTTTAAATTTGTTGTAGTATAGTTTAATATTTTACCTAACCCGCCATGTTAAACTTCCCTATCCCAAGCGTGATGTATATAACTTCGTTACTTCTCGAGTGATGTAAAGTTGAAAAAACTCACTCGGTGATGAAATGAAACCCATTTAAATAACATTGAGTGCTTAACTTAAAAAATATACCTCTATGGAGCCAACGACGTTCAACGCTAGAAATCAGCTGTGCGCTTGAATTTTATTGTTATGTTTTGAAGAATTTTCCTAACCTAGCTTTTGTTTGTAAATGAACGTTACTGTTAGAAGATTAATGAAATGGATAATGAAAAATATTGTTCGTAACTTCCTGTATATTGTCGGGTCAGGTAAAATCTTGTACCTTACACGTTACGCAAGAGCGTGTTTACATCACTTCGGTAAATTATGCAACTCGCTTCCGCTCGTTGCACAACATTCACCTGCGTGATGTAAAAAAGCTCTTACTACACTTGTAAGGTAAATAGCTATAAAAACACTATTGATAAGGCACAACAATATTTCTAAAGTTTATAACAGCTGACATAGATTTGCTAAAGATTTATATTGTGAGTGAAGAAACTGATTTGTGATTTAATATAAAAAAGAGTGAAATTTAAAAAATGTTCATTTAAATTTAATAATTAGTATTTTTGCAACTTCGAAATAGAAATGGAAAATATCAAAAATAAAGAAAAAAGGGGTACACTTCCATATCTGTTGGCACACACAACCGAATGAAAATATTGATCGATATATCAATTATTCGATATATCGTTTGGTTAGTTATATAGGGTTAATCTCGATATAACGAATTAAACAATCGAATAATCAATATTATTCATTATTCATTCGGTTGTTTGTCAACAGATATGGAAGTGTATCCGAAAAAAGATATGAAATGGTGATGAAGGTAAATCATGTACGTGAAAGTTTTATTCAAATATTTGGTTATTTTTTCTCATATTAGCCTACAAAAGATGTTTCTTTTGACATGCTGAATAACGTGACCGTGACAAAGTTGTTCATGTGGTTGGAAGACACCCTGTATACTGTATAATTATGTAAACTACACCGATTTATTTTGGAGGCGTTGGACTGTCTAAAATCCTACATGCGTTAATTATTTTTCATTATTTTTCATTAAGAGATTTCACAACCTATAGTTAGCTTGTACAAAACATACAAACATTATGTGTATAAGTGGTGTTAAGGTACAACCTGATACCAACCTCGGGTCATTGAGAACAGATTGCAGGGCTTGAAGGACGGTTTCTTTGGACAAGTTGTCATAGGATAGTGGAATAGCTACTCCTGCCTGAGCAAGATGAGCCACGTTGTTGGGCTGATCTCCAAACATGGGAATCAGCACCATTGGCACTCCACAATGTAGAGCTTCTGATGTGGAAAGCATTCCACCATGGCCCATAAACGCCCTCACTTTGGCATGAGCTGAAAAAGTGGGTTACTCTGAAATATAGGTTGATTTTCAAAAATATAAAACTGCAAATCGCAAATGAAAATGAAAACAAGCAGCCAATACAGTGTAATTTATTTATTTACTAGCTGTGTCGTGTGCCTGTTCTACGGACGGGGATCTTTTGGTCAGTCAAAGACTTATTAGGTATATTCAGATCATCAATTGGATTGCATAGGTTTGCATTTTCCAGATATGCAGGCAAAACTATTGTGGGAATACTCAAAACCTTCACAAACACAATATCTGCCAGTTTAAAGAAAAAACCAAATATTTCGTGATTTAATGTCACACGGATATATATAGGTAAATATGTTAGTTATATTTGATAAACAACTTCTTGATCAGCATATTGTACGTGTTATTAAATGTATGGAAAGTAAATAAAAGATACTTATAACAACACTTAAAATACCCCTGCAACAGCAAACCTGCAGACTAAGCGAATTTCAACTTGTCTGATTACTGTACATTTGTACTAAAATATTTCCATAAATAAGACATATTTATTCCCTATTTAAATAACATTAGATTTAACGAGTGCTTAGGTTTGCTGCTACGGGGAAGGTAAAAAGTGTTTTTTGACCATGTGTCAATAGTATAGGATGAAATAAGTAAATTTGCTAAATTTTATCAATATATATATATATATATATATATATATATATATATATATATATCCATAAACAAGTAAACTACAACAATTTTCATTTTCTTCATAAGAATAACATGGGAATATAATACATGAATATAACATATGCAGTGAATGAAATAAAATTATTATATATTTGCCTTGTTGAACTTCATTTCATTATAACATGGGAATATTAAATTACAATATTTTTAATTTTCTCCGTGACCGTTAGGCATACAACAGCGCTTCAATATACTAAATTAATTTTTTTAAGCTCTATAAAACAGTTTAAAGAGTTTTTTGTTTTTTGGATAAAACAATGGGAAAACCCCCATTTTTACCCCATAAAACCCCCCATAAACCCCCGTTCCCATGGTCGGATTATGCTGGATCGGGAACTCGTTCAAATAAACGTAAGCTTACACAATTGTACCAAATTTCATAAAAAACGGACTTTTTTGCTCGAGTTTTCGCGCTAACGGACATATATATATATATATATATTTATTTATATATTTATATATACTGTACATGAATTTGAACAGATGGTGTTTTTGGCCTCTCTAGGGACCTCAAAATGAAAAATAAAATCGGTCCCGGGTCCAGGTCTTACCATGAGTACTACGGTAATAGCTTATGCCCTATATGGGAAATTCGCTAATACAGGGTGAACAACTTAACTGTGCCATTATTGGTATCTCAGAAACTAGAGAGAACATTAAGCAGGACAGGACATCGACTCGGAAATCTCAGCTAGGGCTTCAGTAGCTATGTTGCGCCATTGAACAGCGCCGCGAAAAGCGCTTGCAGACGTTCATGGCAACTGCCTTTGTAAACTATACCTCTCGCCACCCTAAGTTGAGGCAGCCCAGACGGACGGGCAGGGTCATTATCGGCCGGTCCCGCCCGACCCTTTATAATCCGATTAGTGACACTTCCGTGAACGCTCTAGTTCCATAATTGTCATTAACAAAGTTAAAAACCGATGTATAAATTTAGTCTTTTACATTAATAACGTCGATTTAACAAACATTTCCGTTTTTGTCCCATCAAAATCGGACAATGTTTACGGTTTTTGGATTTTGGGATCTACACTACTTTGTTTAGCTCACAAACCGTAAACATTGTCCGATTTTGATGGGACAAAAACGGAAATGTTTGTTAAATCGACGTTATTAATGTAAAAGACTATGTTTATACATCGGTTTTTAACTTTGTTAATGACAATTATGGAACTAGAGCGTTCACGGAAGTGTCACTAATCGGATTATAAAGGGTCGGGCGGGACCGGCCGATAATGACCCTGCCCGTCCGTCTGGGCTGCCTCAACTTAGGGTGGCGAGAGGTATACCTATACATGCTAGTAAAAAACAACGAGTGGGGTTTTACAGAACAAAGAACAATCTATGCGTTTCTGGTTTTAGAATTTTCAAGTAACATGAGTTAAAGCAGTTTAAAATTGCCATTTTCGTCTACATTCAAAGAAGATTTTCAGGCTTTATAGTATGATTTTAAAAATATTGAAACCACAACACTGTAATAATTTTAATCCTCTTGTTAAGTGAAGCCTTTGGAAACACGGTTGCCCCAAACCCTTGCGTTTACACAAAACGGCAGAGGTAGGACGGACCCCTAAATGGAGAACTTTAACTAGTTTTTAATGACATAAAGAAATAGGAATTTCATTGTTTCAAAAATGGCTGTCATTTTCCAAAATGGCGGCTAACTTTAAAATTTCTTATGGAACACCGTGTATTTTATGATTGTTTTAGATTCTAGATGTAATTTTAAGACTTTTTTACTCTAGACATTTTCTCTCTAAACCTACTCGTTTAGGAGCTACAGCGTGTTAAACTTAGCTTGTCGCGTCTTTATAGTCCATAGTCATTATGTCATTAGCTTTTTTTTAAGTTTAACACGCTGTAGCTCTCAAACAAGTAGGTTTAGAGAGAAAACGCCAAAAGTAAAAAAGTCTTGAAATTACATCTAGAATCTAAAATCATAAAATACAGGGTGCATCATTAAAATAAGAGATTTTAAAGTTAACCGCCATAAAGGAAAATGGCGGCCATTTCTGAAATATTGAAATTCATATTTCTTTATGTCATTAAAAACTAGTTGAAGTTCTCCATTTAATGTTTAATGAGATACCAATAGTGGCCCAGTTAAGTTGTTCAACCTATATTTACGTTATAGGTTTTTTTTTAACCTCTAGCATAAAGGTTTAAGAAATGTTTATAATGAAAATTTGAAATTCAGCTACGTTGACACAAAATAATTAAACGTATATTACACAATGGTAATTATTATTTTACATTTAGTAATTCTTTTTCAAATCAATATTTCATTGTGCTCAGAACACCGACCGAGTATATCTCGCTGGGGCAGCCACCTGCTGAGTTTGACGTTGGGTGGTTTTCCTGGTAATGTGTCACTTTCCCACTTCATTAGCACTTGCACTGGAAGTTCAGCAAAGGCATCCATGATGGCATGTCTTTTATCCGCTGGAAAGGACGTCGATTGGATCACCGAACCCATGGAAAACAGGAGAACGCCATCACTCGACTCATCCATGAACCTCTCCAACTCCTAGAACACAGAGGTCATGCTTAACTTCAAAAAAATATCAGCTGGCTCTTCAGACAGACAATTTTTAGATTCAATCGACGACAGCTGAGTCTAGTTTTAAACCATCAAAAGCTTTTAACTTTCCATAGGATCAAACAGGTAGGCACCAATGCGAACACTATAGCCACTCACCGTTGACAGAGGCTGTGCGGGTCGGATGTGCAGCCCTCCTACCTCGACACACGAGGGGGGCAGAGGCCGGGGTCCGTGGTAGCTCCAATGGGAGTTGATCAGCACCACACTAGCATTGCATGCTATGTCTTCGAGCGAGGCGCCCTCTCCTATACTAGCGGCGGCGGCCTCACTCTCGGCCAGGGACTGATGGGCCTTGGCGAGGCGCATCCCCGCGGTCACTACTGTGTTGACAATCCGCTCCACGAGACTCATATGTGAGCCGAGGGGGAGAAACGCGTTGGGAAAGTATGACGGATTATCGAAACTCCCGAGTCTGGGATAATGGTGTGGGAGAATAGACGAAGACATAATCCCTATGTAGGGAACTCTGTATTTATTTACAAATCCGAGAAAGCAGTCCGTGTTGAACACCTCGATCATTAATAAATCAAATATCTTTGGTGACTTCAATAGATTTTGTACCGGTTCGGACATCAATATCCCTGTGCAGCTTTCTACTCCCAAATTGGTGATGGTTAAAAAGTCCGTGAAAGGGTTCATCTCCGATATATGTTCGACTGTGAGAGCGTTAACTAATAGCGGAGAGACTCCGACTAGGCTAATGTCCGTGTAATTGATCATGTGAGGCTGCCTGGGATAGAAGCTGATGACAGTGACATTGTGGCCTCGGGAGGCTAGGTCTTGAACCAGGGGAGCGAACACGTCAAAGTGACTCTTACCGGTGTGAGGAAATACGGCGAGGACCTCTGCCGCGAGGCTTGTAGATAACACTTGACACAATACTAGGCCTACCACTACAACAACCCCCGCACTCTCAGGCCACATCGCAGCAGGCACTACCACTACAGTAACATCAGTGATCCGGTGCCAAACACTACTTTGGACGCGACAGAATTAGCCATTCGCGATTCACGTGATCTGTACATGCAACCCCGGCGAGCTTATTGATAAACGTTGTCTAGGTCATTCATCCTAAGTTAACCACGGTATTTCGGAACATTTAGATACATTATTAACTACTGTATATTAATCTCGAAACAGGTAATGTTTACAGTTCTATTGTTCGATTCAAATAACGGTTAGGTGTAAAAAAATTATCTTGATCACAGTAATCGATTGAGAGAATATCGATTTTGTTGGAAAGATAGCCATAGCTTTGTCTATTCGTATTTGAATCCGTACAGATAATGTACCTATTTTATCTCAGAACACAAGTTCAACAAGCGTGTTTTCGTGACTATTGCTTCAAATTCAAATTGTTTATTTGGCCATTAAACATTACATAATATGCTATGTCTATACATAATTCGATTAAATAAAAATACAACCATCATCAGAGATTGGTCAACAATAAAATCAAACCATGCTTAGTTTAGGTCAAACAGCAGACAAAATTAAGCATGTTTTGTAGGCAAATATTTGAATTACTTCCAACATTATATATTTATCAGAATAGTGTAAGCTAATTTATTCAGGGTTACTTTATGTTAGTATAGACTTCGATTTGAACCTCTCCATTGAAATCCAAGTATAGTATATTACGTTACTAGCCCGGTAAGTGGTGTTTTACCGTGTTGCGGGATTTTCGTTCGAGTACGGTAAAGCTTACCGGGCGAAACGTACGATACTTTACATCGTACTACCATAGATAACAGGAGTATAGACGTGTCTATACTCCTTTTATCTATGGTACTACACAGAAAAATTAGTACATTTTAAACTCATAACTCAATTTATTTAAGACATAACTTAAATTATAATATTTTAATAATTCAGAAAATAAAATAGGCCGTTGCTATTAGCTGTTTATTTCATCAGCTGACTAAGTGCACGGCAAAAAGCTTTTTCATCACTCTGTATTCGAAAATAGCCAATTTCCATACAGCCGAGATCTTAGAAAATCGTCAATTTCTATACACCAACAACAAATAGCTATCATCCGACTTTTCCTGACATAAACATTACTTTCGCTACACAAACAATACTTTGCCTGACATCAACAAAGTTGTAACTGAAGTTCCCCAGTTCCCGGTTAGCTCAAAAGGAGCGAGCACCATTGTGTTTTAATTAAAAATACATAACAGAAAATTATTTGTTTGTTTAGGCAGTATTGTACAGCATTGTATTGTATTGTAATTAATTGTACAGCCGTATTGTGTTTATATATATAAAAAAAAAAATATATTACGAAATATTAGACATTTTTTGTTTAAGTTTTATGAAGTTTTTTTTATCGTGATAAAAAGTAAAGTTCAATACTCGTCACGAAAGTCTCATTTCGAGGCGAGATAGTGTTTTACATTCGAGTCGCTATAGTAGTGAAATATACTATTACCTACGACCGTTTTTTAAAGTAGCCATTTCAGTTCAGTTCTTAGAATTGAAAAGTTTCACTTAACAGCTGTTTACTTTCATATCAGCATAGTTTCATTTCATTTTTACAGCATCATTTATTTCTGGTTCAATGTAGACATTATACACAGAAGTGTTAACAAAATTAATAAGAAATTAACTATAATAACATCGTGGGTTCGCCCAAACCTGAGTCACCCTGTAACATAATTAATTTAGAGAATAATTTAATCTTCTCTAGGCTTCATTCCTCCAATAGATCTTGAGGGAGCCTTCGACGTAACCTCCTGTTCTCAGTTGCTTCACCAAGATGAAAAGTTAATGCACCAGGAACATCGTTTAAAGATTTTAGAAATTTTGAGGTGGTTTTTTTTTCAATAAAGGCCGAGATAGACTCCACTCCTAGTTCTTCATGTATATGCCTGTTTCTAACAAACCAGGGAGCATTCACCGCTATTCTTAGAATTTTGTTTTGAATCACTTGAATTTTGAAGAGTTTGTTTTTTTGATATAGCTAATCCCCAGATAGGAGATGCATATGTAATCAAGGGCCGAATTATTGATTTATAGATTAGAACTGTACAAGCTGGCTTCAGAGTAGATTTCCTATTGATTAAAGGGAAAAGCTTTGCAAGGCGTGCATAACCTTGGGACAGTTTTTGATTAACGTGGTAGTTCCAATTAAGTTTTTTGTCCAGCCATACTCAGTAGTGGTGAACTAGCGGTTTTACCCCACTTTAGACACGTTTTCCCATGTTATTCTTATGGGGATTATTTTTGGCCACCAAATCTAAAATCCTGATCTTTGCCTGTAAATCCCTATATAATTGTCAAACCTTATTTTTACTTATTCTCTATATATATATTCGATATTAAGCAAAAATAAAAAAAAATTCATTTATTCACCCATGCATGTGTATATGTATAGTAGTATAGGTTGTCGGTGCCGTTTTTTGGGGAGCGGCATTTTTGGGCCAACTCCCCCCCCCCTCACCACTCCCCTCTGCCCCATGCACAATTGCTAGTACATCTACCATTCCCCTTTCCAGTTGATATATTATATTTCTATTTCAAATCGATACCCATTCACATGTATGTGCGTGGTTTGCACACGAACTCGGCTCATGGCGCGGGCGTGCTCCCGGTCGCGGGCAAGTAGTAGTGATTTTGAGGATTCATGGACAGAGGAGGGAGGAGTGTAGACCACGTGGGTTGAGGTAGGTCGGGAAGGGAGGTGTGTCCATGACGTCACATGTAAACAGAGGATGGCCTTACAGACAGAGACTGATCCTCTGATTTGGATGACCTTACAGGCAGAGACTGATCCTCTGATTTAGACAGCATTGAAGTTGGACATTTCTAGTTCTATTCTGTCTAGTTCTATTGTCTGCCGCTCAGCTGCACTGCATGCAAGGTGCAAATAGCAATATTTTCTGCTACTGTAGTTATGGATTTGTGACCATGTGGAGTGAGGTAGGTCGCCGACTCAGTACGTGGTGTGGTTCTGAGTACTAAGGTGACGTCACATGTAAACAGAGGATCAGAGACCACGTGGGTTGAGGTAGGTTGGGGAGGGAGGTGTGTCCATGACGTCACATGTAAACAGAGGATGACCTTACAGACAGAGACTGATCCTCTGATTTAGACAGCATTGGAGTTGACTTTACAGGCAGAGACTGATCCTCTGATTTAGACAGCATTGGAGTTGGACCTGTTGTCTGTTTAGTTCTTGTTTAGTTCTATTGTCTGCCGCTCAGCCGCACTGCATGCAAGGTGCATAGCAATATTTTCTGCTACTGTAGTTATGGATTTGTGACCACGTGGAGTGAGGTAGGTCGGCGACTCAGTATGTGGTGTGGTTTGGACCACGCCAATGCATCCTTTGGAGGCGAAAAAATATTTTTTTGTGTTTTTCAGTTTTAATATTTTGTGCACTTCTGTTCTATTAGTTTATTGTTGTAAACTCGATCTGACCATGGATTTTGGGTATCAAAGCAAGTTTTTCGTTGACACCGTTGTTGTAGTTTCTAATCATGACGTCTGTCAAAACGTTGTTGTACCTGCATGGGAGATACAATTTTCTTAGATTGCCACAAGGGTCTTCTTGGACAGTAGCAGTTACCGAGGGACCGTATCTCGTCACGACTCGCTGCAACTCCACTATTCTGTAGGGATGCTCATGTCGCAGCTCTTCGATTTTAGTGTATTTGGGTGCTTGGCACGCGTTAAGCAAATCTACCAATTGCGCCATGTCTCTCACTTATATAAATATGCAGTTACATTACATTGATTATGTTCCTTGATATGTCGTAGGCAAACGCGTTTTCAGAGACTACGATGACATATGCGGTAGTGCCTGAATCGGCTGATGGTGATGCGATTGCGTTTGTGAAATCGAATTCTATTTGAATGTCACTTCTAGAACGGTCTGTATTCATCGGATGAAGATGTGTGTTGACAACACACAGTGGGTA